GTTTAGGGTTTAGGGTTTCTAGCCAGGGTCCAGCAATGCCAATCCCAAGGGTATATGAGTGTGTGTATATGGAATTTTGAACTCTCTACGTGGATTCCAATTCCAAGGATATACCAGTGTGTGTATATAGCATTAACTCTTTAGATGGGCTTCTATCAGATTTGATGTGTCACAGACCTACGCCCATAGCGTGAAAGATGAACTAAACCAGTTCTGCTCCTGACAAGCTACAAGGTACAATTGAACAAGTTTAGGGTTTAGGGTACGGGGTGTTGCAACAGAAGACAAGCAAGCTACCTGGAGCTCTCAAACGAGAATCCTAAAGTGCTCGGAAACGCAATGAAGCGCATGATTTCACTCCTTATGTCCACTCGTACCTTGGCTAGCAAAACGCTAACTGCCCTCGCTGACAGCAAAGTTGACATCAAGAATAATGTCCTGCAGGGGCCTGCATAAAGACGAATAGAGGCTTGGGGTATGTTCTGCTATGAATATATAGATTCATTATGGATTGAAGCAGTATTCCTGGGTATTTAAGCTCTTACACTGTTTTGAAGCCTTCATGCTGGACCCTTTGAGCCCCACAGTAGAACACAAAAAGTTGGAATGTCTAGCCCCTTACCCCCAACCTAGCAAGTGGTGAGATCCTATCTCCACATTCCAAGTGCTGGACCAAAACCTGAAACTCCGAAACCTCCATCAGGGTCCGGGCAGGGCCTCATGACCTCATGTGCTGTTTGAGGAGGTGCCAATGACACTCCCCAGGGCCAAAACCCTAGACCCTTATAGGGGTTTTGGGTTTCGGGGTTTAGGGCTTATAAAACCTAAACCCTAAACCTGGGTATGCTAAGGGGAAACTATGAGAGGAGCCTTACAGCAATGCAGTTTTCTAATTCGGGATTGATCTCAAGGTCCTTTGGAGAAATTATCTAGGGTTCGTGCCAGTTCGTGTAGCTCTATAAGGGAAGGTATGAGAAACAAATTGCTTCATGATGGCTGTTTTGGGAACAGGAATGTTGAATCAACATTACCCTGAATCCTAAACCCTAAGCCCTGAATCCTAAACCCCAAACCCTACGTAAACATTGATCCATCAAGAAGTTCTCAACTGAGCATCATCAAGTACCGCCCAAAGGCCTGCCTCTAGAGCCCACTTGACACAAACGGTGAATGACAACCCTAAACCCTAAACTCTAAAACCCTAAACCCTAAACCCTACACCCTAACCCCTAAACCCCACTCATAAGCCCTACAACCCCAACCCACAGCCTTCTTAACTTGTTCTTTGAGCTCCTGTATCTCCTGCGCCTCAGGATTTGGCTCGGGACACTAGCAGTTATTGCTAGAACAGGGGAATTTAGGGTTGAGTGGTTTAGGGTTTGGGGGCTTGGGGGCTTAGGGTTTAGGGGTTTAGGGTTTTGGGGGTTTAGGGGCCAGGGTTCAGGGTTTAGAGTTGTGCAATTCGAATCCCCATCTGCGAAGAACCCCAAAGTTCGGGGTTTAGTTTAGGGTTTAGGGTTTTAGTGCTTGGAATAAATCCTGAACTCTAATCTGTGAACTCTACCTGTAACCCCAACTACCGACACCTTTTCTGGGTTATTCTCACAAATTGAGGGGGATAATGCTGCTGAACTTTGCGGTACTTAGTCAATTAGGGCTACACGTTCAACCTCCCTCCAAATAACCCTACATGGCAACCTTTTGTGTGTGTGAACGCTCGTCCGGTTCCCTAGGCTACACTTCTTCCTCGGAGTAGCTTCTGCTCACAAAGGAGCCCCATGCATTCCAAGCGGATGCACGAGAGCGCTAGTCAAAAGATGAAATGGGGCAAGGATTAATTGTCATTTGAGGTCTATAATGGGGTTCCCTATTTAGGGAACTACCAAAACTAACGTAGGATAAATGACGGGGGCCCTGTGAGCTTGAATTCTGCTAAATAAAAAATGGATAAGGAATCTGGTGCACTTTTCCCAGAAATATCCCAGGAACCTCCATACAGTAGCTTCGCTAAGGTCTACACACTAAACCCCAGAAAACCCTAAACTCTAAACCCCGGAAAACCCAGAAGTCCAACCTTACACTGCCCAGCTGAAACCCGGGCGCCGCCATCCTACTGTGCATGGAGGAACCTGGTTAGTAGGGTTTAGGGCTCAGGGTTTACTTATTAATCTACTCTCTGACTGAATCTGCTGAAGGAGGGATACAATCCCAAGCTACTAAAGTCTACTTGAACTATAATCTAAACTCTTAGTATCCCGCTTAGTACCCCTAAAAATCTCCCCTCTACAATCCCGATATGACCCCCTTAGACTATAGCTCACTTGGAGGTCTATAGAATTTAGTAACTGCTTCCAACTGTGGTTAGACTCCATTCAGACGTCCCACAGGTACAGCTACCTAGGCTACAATTGGGTTGACAGTACAGCTATCGTACTCCTTGCTGACTACAAGGAACCTCACGTAATACCCGAAGCCCCACCCTATCCCTAGACCCAGAGCGCAAAACCTATACGAGGTTTGAAAGCCCTCCACGCCTGACCCACCACTTTGCCCTTATCATCCTTATCATCCTCATCATCCTCGTCATCATCGTCCTTGCCCTGAGCATCCTCCTTGCCCGAAGTAACCTTCTTTGGCTCGTTCTCCTCCTTGTCCTCATCCTTCTGGCCTTTATCATCTTCTTTGCCCTTGTCATCGCCCTTGCCCTTATCATCCTGGCCAGAAAGATCTTCTTTGCCCTTGTCCTCGTCCTTGCCTTTATCATCCTCGCCTTTCTCGTCCTTTTTGCCCTGCTCTTCGCCTTTGCCCTTATCATCCTTGCCTTCATCCCCCTCTTTGCCCTTGTCATCGTCCTTGCCCTTACTATCTTCTTGGCCTTTGCTGTCTTCTTTGCCCTTGTCATCCTCTTTGCTCTTCTCATCGTCCTGCAAAATGCACATCCGTGATTCTGTTACAGTACTTTCCCAAATCTTTGGAACCTCCGTCTAAACCCTAACATGCTATAATTATTCTGGACCCCCCAAAGGTACCCCGAAACCCTAAAACCTAACACCCCATTATAGAATTTAGATCTCACCGATTCCAGCTCAGACGTTCGCTTCTTCAGGTTTCGGGTTTGGACTCGAAGGGTGCCAAAAATTGGTGTCCATTTTTTGGGGTAACCTAGATATTTGAGGCCGCATTGTATTGGAACCCCCATATGACATCAAAAGACCCCCCATATGACATCACAAGACCCTGTTTTTGACCACTGCCCACATGCATTTACGCCATGTACACAGAGGTTTCTCTTTTGCGCACAACGCGCTGGGATGCTTTTCTGAGGCACTGTGCATGGGCTTGTCTAAAACGAAGTGGGCTTTCTGGACATGTATGTGGAATGAGGATGTGCGAAAACCTGGTACGATTACGGGTTTAAGTTTGGAGCGTGCAAATGTCTTGCTATTGCAAGTAAGGATCTACGTTTAGTGTTTGAAGCTAGGAAAAGCAGCGCAATAAACACATGCTAACAATTCAAGCGAACGTGGCCTCGTACATGATCAAGCTCCGCAAAGCCACTGCCTTTCGGTAATGTTTAGGTGTCCTGGGAATAAACTGTTTCTACATTTAAGAGACCCTATGAGGCCTAACTTACCAAGCAAGTTAGGAATCAAGGGCACGCCATGAACAACCGTTGCTCGCAAGGACAATGTGGCAGTTTCCCCTTTCAGCAGGCCCTAAACCTCTAAACCAACCCCAAGCGTTTGGACCCTAAAGCGAGATGGCCGCTCTGCGCGCCAAGCAGAGACTGGATGAGGAGCTCTTGCCGGACTAACGCGGCCGCCAGGGATTCAAGACGCAAGGCTCTGGACCCAGAATGCCCTGGTTTAGGGTTTAGGGTTTAGGGTTGGTGATATATGGTCATATATGGCCCCCCAATTGTGGGTACTACTTAGGCCCAAATAGAGGCTTGGTGGAGGGTCCAGGGAGCAGGAACTTGAGGTGATCAGGAAGGAGACAGAGCTAAGCTGCGCCTTGACTTTGACCGCATTACCGAAGCTTCAGAGTGTAGGCCTTCTGGGCCGATTGCTGCTCAAAAGGCAAATGCCCGAGCATGCCCCAGAACAGCCGCCAGAGAGGCGTGGCAAGAGAGCTTGCCCCGGCAGATAAGAAGGACGCCTCCTCGCCAGCGCTTTACAAGAAGGCAACACAGGAGGAGGAGCTAGAAGCTGAGCAGCTCCAACAGGCGTTGATCCAGGAAAGGAACCGACAGCTTCTTCTTGCTTTCGAAAGGGTTCAGGATTGCAACGCGGCGTTGTTCGAGAAGTTGCAGGCCCTGCGCAACCCGCCTCCTGCACCTGCTGCGAGGGCAAAAGCACCACCGTCTGCCCCAGCTCCCAAGCCACCTACTTGGAGAGTCGGGGGGACTTATTAAGTAGGTTACTAATGGGGATAACTAGGGCTACAGTATGGATTACAGGGCTTACTAACATGCTTACTATGCTCCGTTGACCCTCCACCTATGCCTAATTGAGCTGTCAGTTGCTGTTATTCCACCAAGCTCCCGGATGATGCCACCAACGTAGTATGGGAATTTCTCCAAGGAAGCCCTAAGCCCTTTACGCTAAACCCTCCAATAGAATCCTGCAGGGCCTCCAATGATTTCCATATCTGTCTGGGATGTCTGCGGGTTTAGGGTTTCGATTTGCCACCCATGTCTGTTTGTGGCAAACAGTCGCGAGCCGCAAACCCCAAACCTCCTGATAGCCTTGCCGAGTGCAGAGTTTAGGTATCTTATCTTTTTGGGCTTAGGGTCTTCAGGACGTAGGGTTTGGGTATCTTCATTTTTGGGGTTAGGGCTTTTTAGGACTCAGAGTTTAGGTATCTTCCTTTGTTGGGCTTACAGTTTTTAGCATTTAGGGTTAAAGGGGGTCGTGACATTCGAATCTTAGAAGCTTTCTACGACTGAAGCAGTGGGACCTTCCCAAGAGCATGTTCTGTGATAAATACTAGAACCAAGTAAGAACTTCATGTGAGCTGTAGTCTAAACTCCTTGAAAGGTTTATATGGAGGATTATATAGGGGAGTATTACAGGGCTTATTAAGAGGGATACTAGGAGTTTAGACTCTGACTCACGTATTGCCATTCTAGTTCTTATGCAACTTTTCTTGGACAACCGCCATGTTGTCGTACTGCTGGGGTTTAGGAACGTTTCCTGACCAGCGGAGAACTGCTGAGGAAGATTAGAGGGATCGGGGTTTTGGGTTCGAGTCTCCCAAGAAATCCCAGTAGGAAGTTTGGGTGTATTTTGCAAGTGTAAGAAGTTTGAATGAGATTGTAGGTTTTTTGGTTGAGCACCTATATGGTGGCTCGTCCTTCCCTAAACCCTAACTCTCCTCCTTCTCCTCGCCCTTCTTCTCCTCCTCCTCCTCCTCGTCTTTTTTGTCTGGGTCTGCAGAACCTGGCCCAACAAGCTAGACAAGACACACTTCCCCGCGGTCTTGGGTTTGGGGAATGTAGAAGCGTGAGTTAGTCACAAGTAGTAGCTACATTCTCGCACCTAACATACTTGAGGGTGAAGGGCCCAGGGTTTCCGTACAGTATCGAGACAAAGTGTTATTTCATACCGTGCCGCAGGACTCCAATTAAAGAAGAAGATTTGAGGCTTAGGGTTTCGATGCCGTACTGCAATTACGTAGTGCTTCTGTTCAGTACAGTACCGCGATAAACTAGGGCTTCCATAAAGTACCGCCAAAGGCTAGGGGGCTCTTTTTTACAGCACCCAAGCAGAGTGAGAGGAGCTCTTTCATTACAACCTTCTCCTTGTCGGCATGAAGGGACTGGTAACCACTTCGAAGCTTTGATCAGGGTAATTTTGAATAATTTCGCTTCCCAATTTTACGCCATTTAGGTGCTATCCCCTATATAAATGACCATTTGGGGTGAGGCCAGGCTCCTAAACCCTAAACCCCACCATTTCGGGTGAGGTCGGGTGAGGTCGCTTTAAATTGCGGGAGTTCAATCTGAGGCTTCCGAAACATGAGCGGCCCGAGTCCACGAGATGAGGATGATGCTCTCCAGAGGGTCCAAGTACCCAATAATTAGGTCCCTTTCAGGGGGATATATAGGGGTATAATGGGATATGTAGGGATATATAGGGTTTAGGGTCCAAGTACTCAATAATTAGGTACTTGGGTTTTGGGAAATAGTGATTATAGTACAGGTTTTGGGTAAGTATTTGATTATCAGGTCCTTGGACCCTCAGGCTTCTATGGGGGGAGGTTATTTGCACCCTTCCCTGCTTATATAGGCTAGAGCCTAAACTCTTTAAAGAGGGGTTATAGAAGGGTTTATATAGGGGACTATCATAGGGGTTATGAAGGGGGATGCTAAGAGGTTATAATTAGACTATAACTCATATGACAATCCTACACTCACTTCCGCTTAACCCCAAGCCCTAAGCCCTAAACAGTTGAACTCCACTGAAGTTCATCTTAAAGTTCATTCCCCTAAATCGAGCACGGGGAGCAGTAAAGCAAAATCCTCCCTGTAAGAGAACACAGGCAGCATTTCTCAAAATCATCCGTTTGGAGTCCTTTGTATGGATCTCTATATTCCCTTTGGGTTTAGGGTTGAGGGAATCATCATTCATTGGTCTAGGGTTTAGGGTTTAAGGTCTAAAAAGGGTTCAGGGTTTAGGGAACTATCATCTATTCCATCCCTCGCATTCCCAAGGTTGCCCCTTCTTCAGAAACCTTTGTTTCCCGGCGCTGCAAGAAAGCCAGCCAAAACCCTGAACCCTTAAACCCTAAACCCCTTAAGTCCTAAACCCTAAACCCTTAAACCCTTAAACCCTTAAACCCTAAACCTTATACCCTTAAACTCTAAACCCTAAATCCTAAGCAAGAGAGCCGGGTCGGCCATCTGCTGTGCGATCCTTGCCCAGAGCAGGTTAGCTGCAGAGTTTGAGGAGCAATAGGGTGTGGGGCTGGGTGTTTGATTTAGGGTTTAGGGTCTGGGGTCAATCCTGAAATCCCTAACCCCAAGACAAGAAGCCTTCAAGTACCAATCGTATCCCTACGGGAGCACTGTACCCAAACAACAGTACAAACGGGGCCCGCCCAGCTGGTCCTAGTAGGTCATCACTACCCGACTACTCAGAGGCCCATGGCTACTTGAAACCCTAAACCCTAAACCCCTAAACCCTAAACTTGATTGTACCTGTACTTATAACCCAAGAAGGAAACCCCTTAAGTCAGGTTGTACTTACTCACTAATCTCCACCTCCAAGTAAGGCCCCTGGGGTTCATAGGTACACGCACAGTAATGATACTCTGCACCTTGACACTCGCACCATGTATTTCTGGACTCCATGATCGCATGCGACCCTGACTCCTGAGCCTCAGACGTCAAGCCTCAAACCCCCGCAAGTCCAGCATTGGTAGGGGCTAGTAACAAGTAGGGCTTTCAGCAATAGCTTTGGAATCAAAGCCCAATGATAGCCAAAGTAACTGTACTCGGAGGAGGTTTCACTTAGTCAAAGTGCCTTGGGCCTCCGAGAACCTCTTGCTTTCGACCCGCAGATACAACTAGGACTTAGGGTCAGGGTTAGTGTTTAGGGTTTAGAGCTAGCTTCTCTCCAAGAGGAGCGACACCAAGTGAGGCAACCTAGATATGTCTGTTAACTCCTCTAACTTGTGAGTGTGGCATGTATAGGTCTACTTCAGGTAGTTAGTTATAGCCCCTAAACATTAAACCCCAAGCCCAACTTTTAAAACCCAACTTATGAGCCCACCTGCGAGGGTTTAGAGCCCGTTTTAGGTACTTACAGACCAGTAAGAAATCTCCAAGGATAGTTGCCTGGACTACAGAAACATCGGGGTAGAGGTACAAGTGAAGTAAATCCTAAACCCTAAGCCCTAAGCCCTAAACCCAATAGACCGCCAAGTAGACCCTGGAAAAGAACAAAACAAAAGTGGAACGTCGATCTCCTCTAACCTCTGAGAACTACCTGAACCCCAAAAGTAAGTAGAACAACTACATGAACCGCAAAAGTAGGTAGAACAGTTGCCCTACACCCCAAAAAAAGCCCCAAAAGGCTATCATTCCACATAATTTTAAGGTTCAGATACTAGGATAGAACAATGCTGGTGTCTCGTAATTGTCCTGCCTACCCAGAATCGATAGAAAGCTCGACCCTTTGGACCAGTCTGACAAGTCTTTCCCACCTCACCCTCCGGTAGCAATACCCTATACTGTGTGAGACCCCAGAATTACCAGTGGGTTAGGCAACTTACTTATACAGGCCTACAATAGGGTTATACTACAGTTACTAACGGCAAATAATGTCCTACCTAACCCCAAGGCCCTAACCCTAAACCCCTAGACCCCTAAACCCCAAAGCCCCTCAAAGTATAGGACCAAAACGGACCTTAAACGGAACCTACGAGACCGAGCAGCGCTTGCTAAAGCTACCGCTGAGGACTTTGAAGGACGGAGCGGGCGATCCTTGGCACATGGTGTGGAGCTGTAGAGGTTATGTGTGGGTTACCAAGCTGAAGGGCTAGGGTTGAATGGGATATGGGGTTTCAGGGGCATATTAGGATGCATAGGGTTCTGGGCTTAACCCGTGGGACCCCGTACAATAAGGACTCGTGAAAAAAGATGTTTATGCAGTGGCAACATACTTATGAAAACAGCTATATGGAGGATTATGACACCTTCTTGGACACCCTATATAAACATTCTAGTCTGAATAATGGAACCGCAAAGGGAACCACAGTTTCATATAGGGCTTGACAGTAGGAGCATAAGCGCTTGGGGTTTGGAGCCTGAGGGCAGGGATGTGGAGCTTCGGGTTTTCGATGGGTTTTCAGGTTTGGGCCAAGAAGGTTCTAGGAATTGGAACTGTAAGGGAAGTTTTTACGGAAAGGTTGAAGGGCGGTTCAACCAGAGTTCGTCCTTAGATTCGCCTTAAAGCACCTCGTTAAGATGACAAAGTTGAACTTAGGGCCCGAGATTGCACCGAAATCCAAGCTTTTGTGCACTAAGAGAATGTCACCGCATCTCAATTTCCTAGATCGTAACCCCAACACCCTAGACGAGAAAACTGGTGCCTTCCAACACGACAAACCGGGGATGTACTCAACCACTTCTGCAAACTCGAAACCTGACATCTTGCTGTACGCAACGAGTACATGATGAAACGAACATGCTATAGACGCGTGATTATGAAGGAATATGAGTTACCACCTGATTAAGCTTGAAACCCGAAACACGGTTTGAGGGTTTAGGATTTCAGGTTTAGGGTCTAGGGTTTCAGGGTATCGATAAATGTAGGTATAGCCAAATTCCAAGCTCACTGAGCCCCTTAATATAGGTATCACTGACCATGTCCAAGTGGGGTTGTACAAAAATCAGGTATTAAATCCCTTATAAGCTTCAACCTTATAGTTTTTTCTACGCCTAATCGTTTTACAGTGTCTGGGACCTCCTGAAACCTTTTTGCTTTTGACTTCTTATCGCTTTAGGTCAAACGATATCTCGAGACACTCATGACATGATGTAGAGAAGCTGGGATATTATACAACCCCAAGTGGGCTAGACTGACCATGAACCTACAAACCGACTTGCAACCCAAACCTGCAAGCCCAAGAAGCTTAAAGTTCTCCCTTGAACCCTAAACCCTACGTCCTACACCCTAAATCCTAAACCCTAGATCCTAAACCCTAAATCCTCCACCCCAAACCCTACACCCTATACCCTAAACCCTAGATCCTAAACCCTCAACCCTGAACCCAAAACCCTAAATCCTAAGTCCAAGACCAAGCTTAAGTGCATGCCGGCAAGGCACTGCGCAGGCTCCTAGCTGTATCCTTCCGAGGTCCATGCAGGCTCCAGATTCCAGGTAAATCCTTCACGCGTTGTAGGGTTTAGGGTTCAGGGTTTAGCGTTCAGGGTTTAGTGTTCAGGGTTTAGGGTTCAGGTTTAGGGTACAGGGGGGTTTGTAGGTTTTAAGGTTCAGGGTTCAACGCTCAAGGCTGTTAGGTTTGGGGCCTAAAGGGTTTAGGGTTGAAGATTTGGGATTTCAGGGTTTAGGGCTCAGAGTTTTTGGACTTCAGGGTTTGGGGCTCCGGGCTTTTGAGCTTAGAGCTCAGGGCAGAGATTTTGAGTTTTAGAGGTTTATGCCCTATGCTGCCTTACCGTAGCCTAGGCCCTGAACCTAAAAGAATTTCCTCCCATAAGCCTTAAGAAATCCTGCAAAATTCCACAGACGCACCCGTTGCTTAATTATGCAGCTTGCAGTGCAAACAACATCCGATGTTTGGATAGCTTCCTGCACCTCTTCGGGGGTTTAGAGGTCCGGAGCCTGTGGTAAGTAATGATACCTGTAACGACCCATTTAAGGTTTAGGGTGTAGGAGTTT